TTTGGGAAGACTGTCAATGAAATCCATGCTAATTTGAGACTAGACCAATTCAGGAATAAGTAGTGGTTGTAATAGACCTGGATAGACAGCTAGATCAGATTTATTCTTCTGGCAAGTGTCACACTTCTAAACAAATAACTTCACATCAGTTCTGATACCCTTCTAGTAAAATAGAGTCAAAAGCCTCTTAAGAGTAGCTTCTACACCTGAATGTCCTCCCTGTGCAGCAGAGTGCCAAAAGGAGATGATATCAGATCTTAACTGAGGCACCTTACAAACTACTAGTTTCTTCTTTTTCCTGAGCTGGTTATTTTGCCAAGTAAATCGTTTATGGCAGTATGGATTAGCTACCAATGCTGTAATGAGAGTCCTCAATTCAGGATCTGCATCCCAGCTAGATGCTATAACTTAAGAGAGATTAGAAGAAGTATTAGCGAGTATCAAGGTCATTAACTCAGCACCTTCCACCTTAGACAAGGCATCAACCACTTTGTTTTCTACCCCCTCTTTGTACTCAATGACATAGTCAAATGGCTTGAGCTTAGTGAGCCACAACAACTGTGAATTAGTGTGTAATTTTTGTTCTAACAAATACTTCAAAGCCTTTTGATCAGTTCTGATAACAAATTTCTAGTTTAACAAATAATGTGACCACTTGGTCACAATATCCACAATAGCCATTAGTTCCTTATCATACACAGAGAGTGTTACATGCCTAGGTGAAAGCCCTTTACTAATAAAAGCAATATGCTAACCCTCCTGCATTAGTACAACACCAATCCCAAATCCACTAGCATCAGTTTCCACGATGAACAACTTATTCTGGTCAGGTAAAGCTAACGTTGGTGCCTTAGTCAATGCATCCTTAAGTTGTGCTAGTGCCATGGAAGCCTCCTCATTCCACTGGAACTTGTCCTTCTTCAAAAGATCATTCAGTGGTCTTGATATAACACCAAATCCTTGGATAAATCTTCTATAGTATCCAGCTAATCCCAGGAAATCCCTCAACTGTTTAAGGGTAGTCGGAGTAGGCCAATCCCTTATAGAAACAATCTTCAAGGGATCTGTAGACACACCTTCTTGCGTGATGAAATGACCTAGATATTCAATCCTCTTCACTCCAAAGAAGCATTTAGATTGCTTAGCAAATAGCTAGTGGTGCTGCATAACCTCAAAAATATACCTGAATTGTCTTAGATGCTCATCTAGAGTTCTGTTGTAGATGTGTATATCATCAAAGAAAACAAGTACATGTTTCTTAAGAAAGGCCTGAAAGACAGAATTCATCAATCCTTGAAATGTGGCAGGTGCATTTGACAGGCCAAAGGGCATAACCACATATTCAAAGTGCCCAGCATGAGTTCTAAAAGCTGTTTTAGGTACATCTTCAGTTGCCATCCTCAGTTGGTGGTAACCAGATCGAAGATCAATCTTAGAAAAGATTATAGACCCCCCAACTCATCCAATAGGTCCTCAACAACTGGAATAGGGAACTTGTTCTTGATAGTGTGTTTATTCAAATCTTTGTAATCCACACACATCCTCAATGTACCATCTGGAGCAGCAAATGGACTATAACTAGGTTGTATTACCCCTTGATCTAACATATGTTGAACTAACCCTTCAATAACGTCCTTCTTAGCTGAAGGATATCTGTAAGGTCTTTTATTTATAGGTTCAGTATTGTTGTGCAACATTATTCTATGATCAAAAACTCTTCTGAATGGAGGTAATTGTTGGGGTTCCTCAAATAAAATCTTGTACTTTTGTATTAGACTGAATAGTCTAAGGTCTTCCTCAAAGTTCTCCTGAGCGTCAATTGAATGCCACTGGTCTTTGTTACACTTAGATGACACTACTTGAATCATACATAGTTGGGAATTGTTACCTGACATTTTAGCTAACTTCCCAGCTCCTGTAGTTTTGATTTATTTGCCTGCTACCCTGAGAAGATGCTTTCTCCCTTTATACCAAAACGCCATGGTGAGTTACCTAAAATTCATCTTGATATCTCATAGTGTTAACAACCATTGCACCCCCAAAACTACACCACAAAATCCTAATGGCAACAAAAGAAATTCTACGGAAAACTTCACACCTTGTAACAACAGAGAAATATTGCACATCTGGCTTACCTGTATGTCATTACCATTAGCTGATGTTACTGCCTGAGGCGTAGTAGATGTAACTTGGCATCCCAAACCCTTCACCACTTCAGGATCAATGAAATTATGTGAACTTCCTGTGTCTATAAAAATGTGAAGATGTTTCTTGGAATGGTAACCAATGACCCTTAATTTCTGAACCCCAATGAGCCATTCAGTGCATAAACAGAGATTTACATCTGTTCTAATGGCCTGATTAATTTTATCTCTTGGTCCTCCTGAGCTGCTTCTTTTTCCAGTTCAGTCTCCACTTCTTCATGTTCCTACACCTCTATCAAGTATAACTGCTTCAAGTTCTTGCACTTATGACCAAACACATACTTCTCATTACAAAAATAACACAGTCCTTTGGACCTTTTTTCATTCATTTTTTTTGCACTTAGGGTTCTTCTATTGGTCCATCTAGTTGTTGTATTTGTATAGCTACTTAGGGTGGGTAATACGGGAGATTTACTTTGAAGGTTCTGATCAATATACCTTCTTGGTTGATTTGAATTCTGAACAATTTGTCTCACAGCTTCTAAGTATGCCTCATACATTCTTGCCGACTTATAAGCTTGAGATAATGTGCGAGGGTTTGTTATTTTTACTGCCATGTTCAACTCCTTCTTTAGACCTCCTACAAAGCAACTAATTGCATTTTCTTGTGACAAATTAACCCTGGTTAGATTCCTCTAAAAAATTGCCTGATAATCTTTCACTGCTCCTGCTTGTCTCACTTTCTTTATCTCCTCCATTGGGTCATCATAATCTTTCTACTAGAGCCATAACATACTTAATTCATGTTGGTGATTGTAAGTATTGTCTATACTTCATGAATGACAAATGCCATTGAACAGCCTCACCGTTAAACTGTAAAGATGCAATCCCTATCATTTCCTCCATCGGAATGTTGTCCATACTAAAAAATTGTTCTATTTTGAATAACCAAGATCTGAGATCTTCTCTAGAGAACCTCAAGAATTCCATCATCGACCATCGAGAGAATTGAGAATGGTGATTAGTGAAACTACTTGCACTTTTCTCCCTGTGGAACCTTTCATCGAACTGTTTCTGTGCATTCGGCAATTCCCCTCTTTCAAAATGAATTACAGGTGATTTTTCTCCATGATTTCCTCCAGTAGTTGCAAGTGATTTATCTCTGTGATTTCCTCCAACAGTCGCCAATTGATCCTTCAATTCCAACACAGCTTGATCCAACTTTTTAAGATTCAAAACTTCCATTGTAAGAGTCCCCATTTCTGATAACATTTTCTGCATCAGCTCACGCAATTCCCCCACTTCGCTGTTAGAAGACCCATCATTTGCTCTTGTATTTTTTGTCATTGTTGCCAAGGAAAGATCAGCTCTGATACCAAAGACATTAAGATTTTATGTTAAGATTCTATTGAAGTATTGGGGACATTGTGTTCTAGCTGCAGCCTATCTCATCAATAGAGTTCCTAGTAGTGTTCTTAACTATTAAACTCCCTATGAGAGATTATATAACCGAGCTTGACACACTTAAGAACCATTGGTTGTTTGTGTCTTGCCAAAAATCTACTTGAACATGATAAAATGATGCCTAGATCTAAGTCTGCAGTTCATATGGGGTATTCAGAGACACAAAAAGGTTATGTTTTATTTGATCTTACTGCTAAGACATTCTTTGTTAGCAGAGATGTCATATTTAGAGAGGCTTTATTTCCTTTCTCACAGATCAAGAGAACTAAAAAACATTCTTTGTTTCAAGATCCACTGCTAGACTCAGCTATTTTGTTTGACAACTCTACTATTCAGTTCTTTAAAGCACCTAGTTCTATTGATGTTGAAGTATCTTTCCCTGAAGGTTCATCTGTGTTACCAGATTTTCATGATGTCTCTTTAGACTCCCCTCATACAATTGAGGAATCAGTTTCAACAGTCACAGACACTGTTATACATGCTAATCTTCCTGATATACTAGCTGATCCTAGAAAATATAGAGGCTCAAACATACCCCTAAATGGCTCAAGGATTTGTCTTTTTGAATATACATTCAGAAGTAAAGTATCCAGTGTGTAATTATATCAGTTACAATCATCTTTCTCATACTTATCAGTCATATGTTGTTGCTACATCTTCTGTTTGAGAACCTACCACTTATTCAAAGGCTGTGAACGATATTATGTGGATAGATGCTATGAAGGTTGAGATTCAGGCCCTTGAAGACAATAAGACTTGGGAGATAACTGATCTACCAATAGGAAAGAAACGTATTAGCTGTATGTGGGTGTACAAAGTTAAATACAAGTCTATTGGAGAGATAGAAAGGTTCAAAGCAAGGTTAGTTGCTAAAGGGTATAGTCAGCTGGAATGTATAGACTATCAGGAAACTTTTTCACCTGTGGTGAAAATGGTGACTGTTTGATCAATGGTGTCTTTAGCTGCTTCAAGGCATTGACACATTTATCAAATGGATGTTTTTAATGCCTTCTTGCAAGGTGATCTTGAAGATGAGACTTTTATGCAACTTCCTCAAGGTTTTGTCAGTCAAGGGGAGAAACTATGCAGACTGACAAAATTATTATATGGTTTAAAACAGGCTCCAAGGCAATGGAATCACAAGCTGATTGAAGCCCTTATTGCTCTCAAATTTAAACAAAGTCAGTATAATCATTACTTATTTGTTAATAAGTCAGAAACATGTATCATTGTGGTGTTAGTATATGTGGATGGTATGATGATTACAGGGAGCAGTTTGAAGTTAATAGAGAAGACAAAGCTAGAATTACAGCAGACATTTAAAATGAAGGACTTAAGTGAGCTCAAATACTTTCTAGGCATTGAGTTCACTAGGTCAGCAGAGGCATATTAATGCACCAAAGAAAGTATGCTTTGGAACTTATAGCTGAGGTTGGGATGTCAGCAGCAAAGCCTGCAGGAACCCTTATTGATGTTAATGTTAAGCTAACTTCAAAACAGTATGATGAACATGAGAAAAGACACAGAGCTCTTGAAAATCCTCTAGTAGATCAGACAATGTATCAAAGGTTAATTGGAAAACTGTTGTATCTAAACATGACAAGACCAGACTTGTCTTTCAACACACAGAACTTAAGCCAGTTCTTACAACATCCAAAGAAATCACACATGGATGTTGCCTTAAGAGTAGTGAGATATCTGAAAAAGCAACCTGGACAAGGGTTATTGTTTTCCAACTCTTCTGATGAATTAGTTACTGCATTTTGTGATGCAGATTGGGCTACCTGTCCACTTACCAGAAGATCAGTAACATGTTATGTAGTTAAGATAGGTAACTCCTTGGTTTCATGGAAGGCAAAGAATCAAACTATAGTTTCCAAGAGCTCAACTGAATACATAAGTCTTGCCTCTACTGTTTCAGAGCTAATTTGGTTACTTCGATTACTTAAAGAAATAAAAGTTGAAGTGGAGTTACCAGTACAAGTGTACAGTGACAGTAAAGCTGTCATACAGATTGCTGCAAATCCAGTATACCATGAAAGAACAAAACATATTGAAATTGATTGCCATTTCATAAGGGAAAGATTACAACAAGGCATGATCAAAGTTAACTACTTTTCTACACAAGAGTAGCCTGCAAATGTATTGACAAAAGGGCTTTCAAAACATCAACATAAATAACTCTTATCCAAGTTAGGTGTCTTGAACATTTTTGCCCCACCTAGCTTGAAGGGGAGTGATGAGATATAATTGTAAGGTAGTTAAATAGCTAGTTAAGTCACTAGATGATCAAGTGTAAAATAGACCTTTTGTATTGTTTGTTATAACTAATTCCTTTCAAGTTAGTTAGTTAGTAAAAAGTAGTTAGAAGATACAGTCTATAAATAGCTCCTTCTACATTGTAACAATTAGCCATTTGAGTTCAATGAATGAGATTTTTTTCCAAGAGCTCATTTTCATAAGTTTGAGCTTCTTCACTTACGTTCACGCCACAAAAGAAGGTTCCACAAAGTAGATGTTATATAACTAGCCACGGAAAATTACCTTTTAGTGCGACAAGGGTTGCCGGAATAGTGTTATACATTGGCAACACTTATCGCCACTGTAAAGGTGTCACCTATTGTGACAACGTTTATGCGTCGCCACTAAAATCCAAACTTTCGTGGCAACTTATGTCGTCGCAACTGAAGGTCGGCACTTAAACATTATTTCTTTTATCCCCCACCCCAAACCAAAAAAAAAACGTACATAGTATCTCTGGTTACTTCATTCGTTTTAATTTTCATGACATATATTTATTTTTAATCGGTCTCACTAAAATTAATTGGATGATTTATAATTACATAAATATTTAAGATTTATTTTAAATTATAAATAAATTAGTTTTTTAACGTAAACTTAGCGTTCTGACATATATTAGTTACAACTTGCAAGATAGGAAAACATTGTTACAAGCTACTTAGGGTGTGCTCGATATATAGGTGTTTTCCAATTTTCTCATATTCGATTAGTTAGTTAAAATTGGCATACCTAATTTAGATAAGTATTTATATTCCTCAATTCTTTTCGGAGTTACGTTTTCCATTTTGTGAAGTCACAAAATTAGAAATAAAGTGGAACGTAGCCAGCACAAAATTAGAAAATACCACTTACCTTGAAACTATTCGATGTATATGTACTATCTATGCAAATTTGTATTGTACTGGAGTGAATTTCAAACACAAGAATAAATTAAACGTGTCTTATAGTTAGGATCGATCGAATTGAACTAAAGAATGAACCCGAGGTCTCAACAAATATTCCAGCTGGAAAATTAAGCAGCTAGAGTACAACATATGCATTACATTTTTTTCTGGCAAGGAAGGACACAATTAATTCAAACACCACCTAGAGTACGTACTTAAGAGTTCAAGCAATTGGCAGAATGCAATGTATTTTATGTTATGTACATGCATCATATAGTTGTGCAATAAAGCTTTAGCCTATAGTTATATATCAAGTTATTCTCTTTTTATTGAAAAAGAAATGTTTTCATTAAATTATGTTTGACGTATATAATAAGTGCAACTAATTAGAGTGAGTAGCTACTGAATTTATCGGTAATTCCTAATTAATTCATTACTAAATAACTATTAAATAATTAATTTTTCTCACAATTTGATGCTAATTCCTAACTAAATGGGATTAACATGATATTTACGAACGTCAACTTTGATTGTTTTCCACCTTTTGTCTTGTAGATAAAATCTATATGGCTCATATTATGCAATGGTACTACTTGTAGAGGTGGGGTAATTGATGTGGTAGACTTCAGTCGAAATGTTTGGTAGAATTCAGTAATTTTGATAATATATTATATTTGTGTTTAAAAATTCGTTTGATGTACATGTGTATAAAATATTTATATACTTAGAATCCGATTATCTTTAATTTTTAGAATTTGAAATTCAGCATTCTATGTCTCCAATAGGAGGGATATAAAAAAACGAAAAACATATATTCGTAAAGTTATCGGCAGTGTGACAAGAGGCTTTGCTTATCGTCGTTGGAAAGTACGTAGACACTGAGCAGAGTTTCTCATGTCTAAAGCTCAACTTGTATTTCAATTGGATTCTTCACAAGTTTTAACAAGCTAAAAGATAAGTTTAATTGGGCTCACCTTGTTTTCTATCAAAACTCCGTTCAATTCGATCAAAGTTAGAGTTTATGATCAAAATCATTCATATTCAGTTAACTTGATTGTAGAAATATTACTTGAAAATACAATGGATATATTGTATAAACTATGAGATCTATTGAATTCAATATATGTTGCTCAATCGTTACATATTTCACACCCATAAAATTCAAATTATGAATATATTCATCTTTTTTTGAAAAATAAAATTATTGCTTAATGATGAGAAATAGTGATGACCGGTTTTTTTTTTTTTTTTTATAATTTTAATACTATCAATTAAACAACAACTTGCGAAGAAAATGGACAAGAGAATTAATAGGGGTGTAGCAATGCATCAAACCAAAATGACATGTTGTAAATACACAACAAAATCTGAAAAGGAATCTCCATTTATCTACTGGACCCCCTAATTAATGTTATATTTTTGTGGCCCTCTCAAATCTAAATTCGTGTTAGCTTTGTAAGATAGATCTGTTATTGACCCATTAAAAATTACTTGGATTGAAGAGAATTGGGCGAAAATGGAGTAAAATATTAAATATGGATCAAAACTTAACATGTACAATTTTTATTAAGTTTTAATAGTTTTAATTGTTTTTAAAATAATTTTTAGTACTTAAATCATTATTTTTCTTTATTATGACTATGTAATCAAAGAAAATAATTATTTTTAATAAGATTATTTGTGAATCAATTTGGACTAGATATCAATTCATAATAAAATGAGCTGAAATGAATTGAACTATTAATAAAATGGCTTATAATTTCATGAGCTAATTTGTTATGTCGAGCAGCCTCTTGTCATGTTTTGAGGTACTGATTAATGAATTTACAATTTTATGTTAGACATTATAAATTTGAAATTAACCTAGTAAAATTTTCCTTTATTTTCTTGGCTTATTTCATTTACAAATCACAATTCACCTGACTAGATCTCTCTCTCACCCAATGGCACAAAGAAACAAACTCACGAAATTTCTTAAGATTACGATGGAGCCATAAATGGCCACCATCATCATCAACTAAAATGTCAAAGAAAGATATTCGAAGATCTAATTTAAGTTTACGGAGTTACTATGAGGATCTAAGGTTGAAGCTACACATAACTTAGTAATTTTAACTCAAATCTAATAACTCATGTTAAAAAAATATTTAATATATATAAATAATATAATTTATCCAAAATCCAATAAGTAAAGAGGTTTATATATGATCCAAACTCATAAATTAAAGTAGGAAACTTCAGGAAGTTTCTTAATTTCATGAGAAGCTTCAACAAAAGAAACAAAACTTCGTTGTTATATTGGAATTTTCCACATTTGTGTCTCTTCTGAACGAGCTGATATTAAATTCTACAAAATCCATGCTAAAGAAAAACAATTTATGATCTTATAAAATTTCTCCAAGAGGTCAAACCAATTTTGAACACTCTATTAACAATAAATCACTTTCATACACTTATTCTTTTACGCGCAAATAAACTAAAGCGTGAAATTACATGCAAACAATATTGTAACTAAAATGTCAACTTTATGTCAGATGTCTCGTCAATATTATGGTGAAAGAAAGAAAGAAAAACGATAAATAATTACTACACCTATATATCATCAAAAGTAGGAGGAAAAACACAAAAAGGTATTGCCGTACGTGATTTTGTAGTAATAAAGTTTCAAAAAAAAAAAAAAAATGTAGCTAGCAACAGCCAACGAGAGGACATAGTATTTTTGTCATAAATTAGACAAATTAAGAGGTCTTAATCGATACGTTGTAGGTTTCTGCTATGAGAAATAACCATTGAAAGAGACATTAGAAGCTCAAGAATAGTTACGTGCTTCATTTGTTTATCGGTTGGATCCCGGTGCAAGTTGATGTGGAATAAGCTTTTGCTGCTACTATAGTGATATCGTGATAAGGTTGAGTTCTTCCTATGTACTATACTTGAAAACATATGAGAGTTTGAATATATTGGGTCGTTATAGATAAGATTAGAAATGATAACAGTAGCACTCGTCGAACTATCGAGAATAGTGTTCATGACTAGCTTGAGATTGTTTTGTTATTTCCTATGTTGATTGCTAGATGAAATGGTGTGTAGATGTGAAATCATGGCGATTAAAGATGTTAAAATAGAAGAATATGTATCACTTGAAAAAAAGTTGTCTCGAATTACATACAATATCTTGAAATCCATGATGGATGACTTGACAAATGATATAAGACACATGAAAAAAGTGATCTAGAAAATAGATATCTATTAGTAAGAATATGTTTTACTCATATTAGCACTTTTACTTTACAAAAAAATTATTTCACCTTTTATAAAGTACTTTTAGTGTTGTTGTTCTTTTAATTGGTATGATATTAACTTGATATATATAATTTATATGGAGTAATATAATGTAAGGAATATATATAATAACATTAGTTGTGATTATATAGAGAATTATTTAGTCATACGAATTGGTTGAATCATACTACATTCTTAAAAAAAAAACATCATGTCGAGTTCAGAAGTTGTGAGGAAAATGTTAATGGGCTTGCTGGCCTGGTATGAGAGACTTGGGCCCCATAAAGTGCCAATCCATATGTATTTGGGGCCCATAGAAAAACTAAATTGGACCGATGACATCTTAGCGCGGCCCAGTTATGAATATCAGAAAAGCCCAATTTCTTTGAATTAGTACTAAGCCTAACCCGAGTCCAGAGTCTTCACCTCTTCTTCTCTGACCAAAAACCCTATCAAAACCCCAGTGTACATTGTTGCAGAAGCTTAGCTTAGAACCATGGCCATTTCCACTGGTTTCGCATTTTCTTGTCGTCCGCATTTTCCTCTGTCTCAGAGCATGCGAAAGGTGCCTCCTTTGTTCTTTTATTGTAGATGAAGAGACACATGGATTATTCATTTTTCTGTTATAGAGTTGGAATATAATTGAAAGACTCTGCTACTGTTTTT